GCACGCCTTCGATGAGCTCAAGCGGCTCTTTGCGACGACTCCAGTCTTAGCGCTGTATGACCCTAATCGGGAAATGCGCATTGATGTCGACGCCTCGGGGTACGCCACTGGCGGCGTATTGACGCAGAAGCAGGACAACGGCAAATGGCACCCTATTGCCTTCCGATCCCATGCAATGGATCCGGCACAGCGGAATTACGAGATCTACAATAAGGAGATGCTCGCGATCATCGAAGCACTGGACGACTGGCGCCACTACCTCGAGGGCCTACCCAATCAGTTCGAGATCGTCACCGATCACAAGAACCTCGAGTACTGGCGTACGTCACAGCACCTCACACGTGGACAGGCACGCTGGTCGCTGTTCCTGGCTTGCTTCGACTTCCGCATCACGCATAAGGCCGGGACATCCAATGGAAAGGCTGATGCCCTGTCTCGTCGGTCAGACCATCAGATCGACGATAAGGATGATAATACCAATCAGGTAGTTCTTGTCGCGACTTGAGGTCAAGCGACTAGAGAAAACTGAAAGGCTGGGGGCGTCCGACTAGATCTCACCGAAGCGATGGTGAGCAACGCTCAAACCTAAGGCTAGGGACAAGAAAATGTATTAGTTAGTAATGTAAGAAAAGAATACAAGGGAGGGCTTACTGACCTAGGGACAAGAGGTCGAAACTGAGGTCCCTAGGGCAGCAGAGGCCGGTTTATATACATGGGGAGATTAGGGCAGGCTGTGTGCGTTGGTCCGTGCGCAGCTGGTCCGTGCACAGCATGCCGACGCGGCCCCGGGGGCCGGTGAGTCAGAGCGGCTGTGTCAGCGGAGCCTGAGCCATGCCGTGCGCTGCCGCCCCATCTAATCTAATCATACAGTAGATAGCGACGCGTCCATATCAGGCAGGTAGTACAGAGGTTGCGGGTTCGAGCCTGCAAAAAGGAAAAATTAAAAAACGGCTAGACGCCGTACCAACTTGTGACATTACCCCCCCCTCAACGGCGCATGACCTCATGCGAGGCGCCCTTGCCCATCTCCCACCCGGAGCGGCATCGTGCTTCCGTCAGCGGCGAAGGCATTGGCTGAAAGTTGAGACCACCAAAGGTAGCAGCATTGAGGCGGCGAGGGGCGTTCGGATTCTTCCGGTGGAAGTCGGCTATGAGGGCCGGCGCATTGGCAACGTTGCGCGCCGGTTCCCATGACGTATGCAAGTCGTCATAACCCTTCCACTTGACGAGGTACTGCAGCTGACGCCGGAAGATCCTCGAATCCTTGATCCGCTCAACCTCGTACTCCTCGTCGCCTTCAACCTCAATCGCAGGCGGCTCCTCCGGCTCCCGGCCCGGGATATCGCTACGCGTATACTTGCTAAGCAAGGAGACATGGAACACCGGGTGTACCGGCACCGACTTTGGCAGGACTAATTCATAATCCAAGTCTCCGAGCTTTCGCCGCACGGCATATGGTCCAAGGCGCTTGGGACTGAGCTTCTTGCTCGGCTGTTTCAGCTTAAGGTTCCGAGTGTCAAGCCAGACCTTGTCCCCCGGCGCAAAGACCGGTGCCTCCTGCACGTGCTTGTCATAGTATACTTTCATACGCTCGGCTGACAGCTCGAGCGCAGAGCACATATCGTCCCTGATCTCCTTCAGGATTTTGAGCCAATCAGCGGCCGCAGGCATCGCAGACATCGGATTGATCCGAACCTGGATCTCAGGATTGTACCCTTGATGCAGGTAGAAAGGGGAGTGCCCGGTCGCGGAGTGAACTCGGTTGTTCAATGCGAACTCCGCAAGCGGCAACTGCTTCGCCCAATCATCTTGCCTGTGGCTTGTGAAAGCGCGCAGGTACTGCTCGATCTCCTGATTCCAGCGCTCAGTCTGGCCGTCCGTCTGAGGGTGGAATGCTGTGGACAGCGCCGGCTCGATTCCCAGACCCTTGTACACCGCATGGAGATACTTCGAAGCAAACTGGGGACCTCGGTCTGATATGACCTTGGCCGGGGCCCCATGGTGCTTGAATACGTCGCGGATGTACAGATCTGCCGCACCTTCTGCCATCAGGGTCTCATGACAGGCCGAGAAGTGGACCTGCTTGGTGAAGCGATCGGCGGTGACCAGGATCGAGTCGAATCCATCAGACTTCGGCAAGCCGACGATCATATCGGTCGTGATGATCTGCCACGGGCGCTCAGGGATCTCGTTCGGCTTCAGCGGACCCTGGGGCTTGGCTGGGAATGTCTTGGTACGGTTGCACACGTCGCAGGTGCTTATGTACTCATTGATGAATTTGGACATCCCAGGCCACCAGTAGTTCCGCGACACGAGCTCCAGGGTTTTGGCACGACCGCCATGACCGGCGATCGGCGAGTCGTGGTGGATCTTGACTATATCCCGCCGGAGCTCCGCATTCTTTGGGACGTACACGCACCCGCGGAACAGCAAGAGCCCTTGTTCGGCATTCCACTCCTCAAAACTCCTTTGCAGCCGGGGCGGCCCTAGGTCCTGCACCTTTTCAAGTGCCTCGGCCACCTCCCGATCCTTCTCCGAACATTCCCTGATGCGCTTCAGAAGCGACTGATCGGCCGTCACCGAGGCATGGCCGCGCCGGGCGGAGGCGATGCGGAAGCGCTCTGGCTTGAGAACCACCTGATTGGTGTTATCGTCCTCATCGCCGATCTGATGGTCTGATCGACGCGACAGGGCATCAGCCTTTCCATTGGACGTCCCAGCCTTGTGCGTGATGCGGAAGTCGAAGCGAGCTAGGAACAGCGACCATCGCGCTTGACGGCGCGTGAGATGCTGGGATGTACGCCAGTACTCGAGGTTCTTATGATCGGTCACGATCTCGAACTGATTGGGTAACCCCTCAAGGTAGTGGCGCCAATCGTCTAGCGCTTCAATGATCGCGAGCATCTCCTTATCGTAGATCTTGTAGTTCCGCTGTGCCGGATCCATTGCATGGGATCTGAAGGCAATGGGATGCCATTTGCCGTCATCCTGCTTCTGCATCAACAGGCCGCCAGTGGCGTACCCCGAGGCATCAACCTCAATACGCGTCTCCCGATTAGGGTCGTACAGCGCCAAGACTGGAATCATCGCGAAGAGCCGCTTGAGCTCATCGAAGGTGTGCTGCTCTTCTTCGCCCCAATGCCATGGGTCGTTCCCTGTGAGTCGGTCGAGTGGTCGCGAGATCTTAGCGAAGTCCTTAATAAAGTGGCGGTAGAAGTTGGAGAACCCCTGGAACTTCTGAACGTCTTTTTTGTTCCGGGGTACCGGCCACTCATTAATTCCTTTGAGCTTCGCGGGATCCATTGCCACCTCATCACCACTGAACACATAGCCGACGTAGTCGACCTTGGGAACGTCCCACTTGCACTTCTCAGGCTTCAGGAACAGATCATTATCCTGAAGGCGACGAAGAACCTCGCGTGTGACCTTCTCGTGCTCCTCCTTGTTGGTGGAGAAGATGAGTATGTCATCCAGGTATACGAGGATCTTGCCGCCGACAATGAGATCATGGAAGATCTCGTTCATCATTGCCTGGAAGGTTGCAGGGGAATTGGTGAGACCGAAGAACATCACCAAGGGCTCGTACAACCCTCGGTTAGTCACAAAGGCCGCCTTCCATTCGTCACCGGCTTTGATCCGGACGTTATTGTATCCCCATCGGACGTCGAACTTGGTGAAGAGCGTAGCGCCGCGGAGCTTATCCACCATCTCGGCGATCAACGGTAAGGGGTAACGATTCTTGACCGTGATCGCGTTCAACCGGCGGTAGTCCTGTACGGGTCGAAGTGTCCCTTCCTTCTTTTTGATGAAGAAGAAGGGGGACGAGATTGGTGACTTCGACTCCCGTATGTAGCCTTTCGCTAACTGCTCCTTTAGGAATTTGTCCAATTCCTCCTGCTCGTTGTTCGACAACGGGTATACCTTCAAATGGAAGGTCGAGTAGCCGGGCACGAGTTCGATTGCATGATCGTACGGCTTCCTTTCGGGTAACCGTTCTGATGCTTCCTTGGAGAAGACATTCAGGAACTCGTGGTACTGTTTAGGCACCGACTCCTCAGCGGTTTTAACGACCTTCTTTTTGATCTCTTCCTCCGCGAACAGCTGGGAGTATGTATGTCCTGCCGCAACGAACAGCTGAGGAGCGCCAGGAAGCGTGACACCTTGCTCCCAGGCTTCGATCAAATCGGCCTCATCCCACTCTACCTCCACCGGATCTTCTTCGGGTTCGAAGTCCGGGAGTACCTGACTCCAGCAGGCACCTATCACCGACCGTTTGGACTTCGGCGAGCGCCTGCGCGCCATGGGCCTGACCCCCGTATCACGCACAGTCGCTGCTTGCTCCATTCGGCCAGTCCTCCTGGCACTGCACGTTTCAGGGCATCGCGACAATTTGAGGGAGCCCTTCTCCCAATCTATTTCGGGGTTGTGCTCGCGTAGCCAATCCAACCCGACGATCACATCCTCTGGACCGATGTCCGTGACCGTAAACACCGTCTTCTCGACGTGTTCTCCTATTTGCATCTGTAGTACTGCTACTTCCGAGATGCTTCCATCTTTATTGAGGGTGCCGTCGATATTGTATAGCGGAATTGGTTCCTTCAACTTCCGTGTTTGCACCTTATTCTCTACTATGAATCGCTTGTTGATAAACTTCGTGGTGGCTCCGCTGTCCACCATAGTGATTATGTCCTTGTGCCGTCTTTTTCCTTGGAGGCGCACCGGGATGTGGAAATGCTGGGACCCGTGGTCCAACTCGTACACATTCGCAGTCGCCAATACATTGTACAAATTATTATTACGCGGCCCGACGCGTGCGGCACGAAGCGCGGACCGGATCAAAAACCCTCCTCCTTCATCGCCCGATAATGCTCGAGCTCCTCGCGCATCGACTTCACCTGTGCCATTAAGTCCGCCAGCTCCGATTGCTCGGATTTCGCTGAAGCGGCACTTATACTTGCCGAGGGTGTTGTCGTGACGGGGGTGCTTGTCGCCGCCTGGGTGGATCCCGAGGCAACCGTGGCCCGCGCGTCGGCGCGTTTTGTGTAAGGCTTGTCCTTACAATTGGGGCACTCGAAGCGTCGGTACCCTTGCTTCCCACAGCCGAAGCATATGCCGGGGAAGTTTACTTTTCCGACGGCCGCATTGATGCTGGCCGAAGCTGCGTGTGACGAGGGTGCACCACCACGTGCCCCTCCGCGTCCTCGACCCCGTGCCGAGAAGAAGCTGTTTAGCTCGGGCCGACGAGCCCGGCTAACGTCGAGGATTTGCTCGACCTCGGTGGCGCGCTTGTCAGCGGCTTGCCACGTGGCGAAGGTTTCGAGCTCGAGTTTGCGATAGATGCGGGAAGGGATGCCGCTCAGGTACTTGTCGCGTAGTTCCAGGTTCCCATACCCGGAACGGTCTGCCGGACCCTTGAACAGTGCAGAGAATTCTGCGGCGGTGCGCTTCTCGTGCATGGTTTTGTCGGAGCAGAGCTTGGTAAGCTCCACCTGTGCCGCAGCGGCGTCGTCAAGATTGCCAAAACGGGCCTTGAATGCCTGAAGGAAGGCTTTTTCGTCGACGAAGGGGGTTGTCGCTCCCTGGATCCCGATTTGGACGGAGGCAAGCTGGGAGAAGATGGGGGTGGCCCAGGCTCGCACGTCACCATCGAGGAGACTGAGGGCAACCTGGATCTTCAGCTCGAGGGAAGAGAGAGCCGTGTTGATCGTCCAGTAGATGAGCAACTGCGAGATGAAGCGGTTGCATTCGATCACCGACTTCCCATCGTATCGGAGTGGGAGGAGGAGCTTCAACGTTTCCTTATCAGGGACGGCAGCGGGAGAGGACATTATCGGCGACGAGGGGGACGAAGGACTGCCTGCGGACGAAGGCGACTGTTGTGACTGTCCGCCGGGCGGACTTCTCGAGGAACGAGTGCTTGAGCGGCCGAGCGGCGGCGACGGCGGTGAAGCCGGTTGAGGAAGCCCGGAGGCGGGGTGACGTAGGACAGGGACTGAAGTCGAGGCGGTGACTGCTGACGACGAGCTGGCCCAAGAATGCGGCGGAGTGTCGCGGGGCTCGGTCTTGGGAGGCCTTTCCAACCGCGGCCCCAGGGAGGACTGGGGGATCGCTTGAGGGGTCGCTGTAGGCTGTGCGACTGCCTCAGTTCCTCGAGGGAGATGGGGATCTCCTCGCGTTTGACCTGTACTGGCGA